TGGTTAGCCGTTAGCGGTGCTGCTAACGTTACTAGCTCTCCTCCTGTCGGTTAGCCGTTAGCGGTGCTGCTAACATTACTAGCTCTCTTCCTGTTGGTTAGCCATTAGCGGTGCTGCTAACATTACTAGCTCTCCTCCTGTTGGTTTAAACACTGATTGGTTGTTTACAATGAAACATTATCAGAGATCTGAGACTAGAAACACATGTTCTACTGAGTCAGTAAAACTTTATTTACATGATGGTTAAACTGTGTCATTCCCTCAGACATCTGGTCTACTGCATATTTGACCTTCTGCTGGAGTTCCTGGTTCCTGAAATACCCGAGGAGGACTTCCAGAGGAGCCTGTTGCGAACCCTCTCCAAGAACCCAGAGAAGCTGCTGGCGTGAGGAGACAAAACCTCCATCTTTACTTTCCACCATTCAGTTGCTCCCTGTTCCACTAATGCTCTGCGATGAGAGTGTGAGTGAGTGTTTCAGGGCAGGCCTGTCTGTAATTATGTGTAGAGGCAGCTTTGATTACACGAGAGCACCTGGTTTGTGTTTGATCGTAGAAAATGTGGCCGGTTTAGATCTAAACATGTGGCCAAAGCCCTCAAAGATGTCCACACCAGGAGGTCTCTCTCTGCTCGCTAAACTCTCCGGCTTTCTCCGGCACTTCAGCTGGTCGGCCCTCATCCCCTCTCGCACACTCCACACCTGCTGCTCTAATCTGGAAAAGCTTTACCTTCAATCTGTTGGGATTGAGCTTCACCGCCTGTGTTCTCTGTAGAGCCGTTCTGCAGTATCTCACTGGCTCTGTATGGAGCCACACATGTAAATCTGACATAATGTGAGCTGCCCTTCCTAAATCTGAGCCTTCCTGAGGGATCGCATGTATCTGGCACAGATTTCTTTCTTTTTATTAAACCTGTAAATGTCTCGGTGTAGGAAAAGAACATACTGTGTTGCAGCGTGGTGACGGATGCTTTAACGGGTCCCGTGGAGAATTATTCGTGCAGTTAACGCCTTAATGGCTCCACATAACGTGTATATGAAGGATCAGTAACTTAAACAGTGAACTGCTGGAGTTTCACTCACTTTTAGTCGTATCTGTCCATAATATCCAGTCCAAATTCCTGCCTCCAGCCAAATGCAATATCATTTCATTTGTGCTGATCGCAGTATTTAGACAGCTGAATTAGACAGATTCTGATGCGCATATATATATATATATATATTTCAATCCTCTGAAGAGTTTTTTAGTGGATCCCCCACAAGTCTACAGTCATTTAATTTAAATCATGTTGTTTTTTTGCACTTTATAAATCTGCCTTCATGGTGGAAACACAACAGTCAGCACTTCTTTCCCAGTCTGATAGACAATGAATATAAAACTGTTCCAAAGTCTGTTACAACACAGACGGTCCTTCGTATCTTAATCACAGTGTAGCCGTGACGTCTTAACACAGACTGTCTTTAAATGCAGCGCAGTTTGTTTTTGTTTGCAGCTGGCCAGAATCACGATGTCACCTAATGTAAATCAGAGTTCATCAACATTTTAAAGGTGCTAAATTCGAAATTTTGCACATTAACATGCCAGCAAAACAACTATTATCTATGTAGAGATATTGAGGATTAACGTCTGCCTGAGCAGAGAATGTAGTCGCTCTCCGTCTCCGAAACGTAGCACTGTTAGCTCTGTCTGCGCTGTTAGCCGTTGTTGGCACCGTTAGCTGCTAGCCGCCGGCTCAGCATGTTGAGATTGATTTGGAATTCAGCACCCATAAAGTTCCAAAATATTATGATTTAAATTTGGAGAAATTGTTATTTGACTTTTGGATTTTATTTTTAGGAGTATGGAGTCCACATGGGTTGTATTGAAATTAAGATACGCAGTTTCTTTTCTCACTTAAAATGCATTAAATATATCTCCTGTGACTGAATCTGCATATTCAGTTGAGTTATGTGTGATTCTGATGTTACAAAAGTTACATTCCAACTTAAAGTAAAAGAAGTTAATGTTTCTGTCATTCCGGTGTTTTGCACTCACGTCCTGGTTTAGCGGTCTCATCTTAAAGTGTTTTTTTTTCCATTTCCATTGTGTTATCTTGTGATTCAGCCTATTGAATAACCTATTTATTTGCTCGATTTACTAATTAATGAGGTTTTGTGTTGACAAAGAGGAGTGTCCTCGTTAATTAAGTGCTTGTTACTGGATTTTGCCTTAATTAATAGCTGACTCGATGAAGTTTGGTCTGCAGAAATGAAGCCGCCTTAGTAGAACGTCAGCACCCATCTCTCTGTTCCTTTATATCGTGTTCATCATTGTTGTGATGAATGTTGAAGCTGTTACTGTTGTTTGTTGTGAAGAGATTTTCTTTTGCTTGCTTATGCTGATGAAGGAGTTCCATGCACGTTGTCATGTGAAACAGAAATGACTCAGCACATATTCCTTCTGTAATCGGCTGCATGTGGCTGCCACCGGTACAAAAAGCATTTGCTCTAAATATCATTTTGACTAGAAAGGGTTTCGCCCAAAGCCATGAACTTACCAACGCTTTCTTCTGAAGTCATTTTTCCAAAGTTTTAACTGTAATCTCTCTAAAAACTCCTATGTTATGACAAGAATAAGATTTTGAATTAGGGGTTTTAAAATAATGTGAAAACAGTTTGCATGTCTACATCAATTATGTTGTATGAGGCTACAGTATCTCCTATAATAATCAGGCTGTTCTGATCCAGCATGCGCAGCTAAACTGTAATCCGTACGAAATCAATTTGTCTGTAAAGACCAGTTCTTGTATGTGAATGGGTCAAATGAAATACGGTCTTTCCTCCAGCAGACCGCAGTTTGTTCCCCGTATGAAACAGGAAGTCAACGTAGATTTATTTGTCACGTAACTTTGTGTACTTCTGTAGTTATTTTAGGCCAAACGACAATCTATTTCTAAACCCAAGTAGTTTAGTTGTGTCAACTTAACTAATTAGTTTTGTTGCCTCAACCTAAGTGAACTAAGTTGTTTCCTTTGACAAAAGTTTATTTTGAAAAACCTGTTTGCATGTAAGAAGCAGAAATAGACACAATGCTGACTTAAGTGTAAGATATACAAAAGTTATATGATAATGAGAAACTTTAGTTTTAATGAGACGCGTTGACTTTGTGTATAACAAAAAGGTTTTTGATTAAACAAAATGTAGGAAACGACGTTTTAGTGCAAAAAGTTTCTTGTAAAAAAAGATGCAGAAAGTGATGTCATAATAATAAAAAAACAGGTTCTTTAAAACTAAAAAAATAATTACATTTGTTTTGTAATGGTGGCAGCGATATGCTTCCGTACGTATGTGCTTTATAGATCTTCTATTATTAATTCATTCGTTCATGTTTATGCACAAAGTAAATTAGAGCAGCCAGTGTTTTAGAGACTTTATGTTTTAGAGACGTATCTGACACTGTACAGGTCCATGTTAACAATAATCCTGTTCTGTCACCCTTTGCACTCTTTTGCACTTTTGTCTCCATCAGATCCCATCTCTGGTGTTTATCTGCGCTGTCTCTTGTGGACACGTGGACTTGTGTTGTGCACGTTAACGCTGTCAATCTGTTGGCAGATTGTTTCACAGTCTTCATAAACTTTTGTTGAGCATATTTGCAAAAAAACAAACAATAAAGTTACCAAACATGAGTTATTAAATCTTCAATTGTTGTTCACACTCGTTCTGTTCTTGTCCGGAGGTGGGTGATGCATTTTACAAGCTTTGGTAATCCTTTATGAGATTTTACTTTAAATTGAGCCCCAGGTGTGTTTTAACTGTCTGGAGGTTCACCAGGAATCTACTTGTTCTCTTCATTTAATGTTTTTCCTCTTTGATCTTTTGTTAAATTCACTCGGCTCCATCAGCTCTTTACTAATTCTCTATCACCTGCAGACTCTCTGTTCACGTCCAACAACAGCAAAGAAGTGTGTGGATGAAAACCTTTAAATACCCCTTAATACAGATCAGACCTGTTTCTTGGAACAGTTTCTGTTGAGCTGCACTTCTCTAACAACAAAGGGGGAGGCGGGGGGGGGGGGACGCCTTTGCATTGCCGAGAAATCCTCTTAAATCGGATTTACAGATAAAAATGTAAGCAACACTTTGGATTAGCTCTGCACTGATGGATGCAGATGACTAAACGGGATCAATCCTTTGGAAAGATCACTTTGTGATCATCTTTCTATTGTTATGAAAGAGTTTGTTTTATGATTCATGTTATTGTATTAAAGCAGCACTTGGTGAAGTGTACCTGCTGAGGCTCGACCACATCACAGTCTGATGTTATAACAACTTTAAACCTCTACAGTGACTCAGCAAACCACATCACAGAGTCTGATGTTATAACAACTTTAAACCTCTACAGTGACTCGGCAAACCACATCACAGAGTCTGATGTTATAACAACTTTAAACCTCTACAGTGACTCAGCAAACTCCACAACAAGGAAGAGTTCTTTGTCAGCTGCTGTTTCTACACATTGTAGCTCGATACATATCGGGAGAGGAATGGAATCAAAAGAATCGATGCAACTTTTAGTTATTGCATAAGTTAATAAAGGCTATAGGACCAGAGTGCTGCGGACACTTTTTCAAACAACAAAGAAAGTCCAGAAATAGAAAATGATCTACAACACAATTCATAAATTATCAACAACACTATATAGTTCTGGAGAAATCTGAATAAATGTTAATTAAATCGTCCATCCCGCCTTTTATTTCCAGGCTACTGAGACAAAAAGTTAACTCTTAAACAGCCATTCATAATTTCATATTTGTTACTACTAACTCACAGTGTCGCTACAACTGCACCAGGAGGAGGAGGAGGAGGAGGAGACACAGACACACACACACAGTTGTTGTGGGCAGTAAATGAATTAATGCTCTCAGTCTGCAGCACGTTCTTATTTACATGGAAACCACATGTTCTTTGTCGTCGACGGGTTATGCAACCTCCTCTCATCACCTCTTCACTCACACACACACGCTTTGGTCTGGTTGTTTTCCACCTTCATTCCCTGTCTAACTCTTGTTTTCTTTATTACATAACACAATGCACACACACACACACACACACACACACACACACACTCTCGTTGTGTTTTTTCTTACATCTTGAAACAAGCTCAATGTGATGATGGGACGCTGTGGCCAGCCAGAGAAAGCAGCGTGGTCTCCTTTTCAAATTCAATCTGTTCAAGGTGATGAAATAAGTTTATGCCAATTCTTCACACACACACACACACACACACACACACACACAGAGAGAGAGAGGGAGAGAGAGAGAGAGTGTGTGTGTGTGTGTGTGTGTGTGTGTGTGTGTGTGTGTGTACTGGAACCACAAAGAGGACAAAAACAAAAAAAGAGAAGAGATGCAGAAAGCTGCATTCGAGGTTTTCTCTCTTTTTCAGGGCGTCTGACAGATGTTCTGTCTCTGAACATCCCTTTATGAAGTTACAGGAGTCTTAAGACAATGCATCAGATGTCAGTGATCTCAGCTGCTTCAACAACAGTCAGATACATATTTTTAGTGTTAGAGCAAAGAAATGAAGGAATGTCCTGTGAAAGGTTCAGAGTCACTGTGCTGCACCACAGAGCCCTCTAGCGGCTCAAAGAGGAAACACAACAAACATACATGAGCTAAAGAAATGCATTAGAATTTAGTGTTTATATACATACACACATCAATTTATTTCTGTCTTTTAATCCAGTTGTCAGTTAGAGATGTGTATCCATTTGATTTCTTTCTCTAACTTCACATCTTTCACACTAAAATATGAAACCAAAAGTCTCCATCCTGATTGATTTGAGGCGTTTGATGGAACGTGAGAGAGGTGCTTCACCTCTAGATGGCGACGCGACCTAAGCTGCTGATCTAGAGTCCATCGTCAGAGAGACCACAAGGAGGCAGCATGTGGTCACCTGACAGGGATCCACCTGTTACTGCTCTGAGGAGGAGGAGGAGGATGAAGAGTCGGCTCAGGTTCAGATGTCTCTTCATCCTCAGGGACTGTGTTCACAGTGCAGGGGCTGAATGCTGAGAGGTAAATAAAGTAAATGACAAAGAGAGACGAGCAACAGCTGGACTCCCAGTCCGCAGTGCAGCTGTACCCAGAATCCTCCTCTTCCTCGTTGACGTCTCCTCCTGGATAATTGTGTTTGTTGTTGTTTCACTTCAGCTGTGAGAGACTAAAGTCATTTCACTGCAAACTGTCTGTTTGTGCCGGATTACAGACGGTGAGGTCGTGTTGACTTGAAGTGAGGAAACAACGACGTGTTGACGACGTGCAGCCGAAGAATATGAGTAAATATCTGTTATATTTCTACAACATGGATTCAGGCTGTAAACATGTTTCATAAGAGGCCTGCAGCTCTTCTGTCATCTGAGTTCTTTTGTTCTCATATTTAATCATCAATAATAACGTATGAAATTAGCAGTTTAAGATTATAAAAAATATTACAAACCCAGAATATGATTATTGTTTCTCTTAAATGATAAAACTCATCAAACCCGACAATCAGGAATGAACGGCCTCACGTGACTGAATGAAATGATGATAAATGATGTAAAAAGTGTTTCCTCTCTCTCTCTCTCTATATATATCTATATCTATATATATATATAGATATAGATATAGATATATTATATCTCCAGCTCCAGCAGAACAACCAGAAACACCGGAACCGTACTCAGATCAAAACAAAGCAGAAGTAAAGAAGTAACAGTTGTGGAGTCTGTATTTGAATGAATGTGGTCTGGAGATGAAATGTTCTCAGATCCTGCATCCGTAGTTTGGTGAAGAACTGGTCTCTCGTGGACCAGGTCCTCCTGCAGCTCCTCTCTGTTCTATCTGACAGCTGACTGTGCTGATGTTCCTGTTGATGGACGATCAAAGGCTTGATCCCTGTGTGACCGTAGAGACTACAGCCTGACCCAGCTCCGTGTTTACACACACATCAATGAGCCGGTCGAGAGCGGCGTGATCAGGAGATCAAAATACTGAGAAAAACAACTACTGAAGTACACAAGTTCCATGACAACCTCTGCTGTCTATTATTACGAGCAGGATAAGACTTGACTTATACAGTGTGTTATTATATATATTTGTTTGTACTGCAGATCTCATGATGACTATGTTGCAAACTACAAAGCATGGACACTTTTGAGTGACCAGTGGAAATGATCAAAGTAGATTAGAAGTCTTTGAACACTTGATGGTGTGAGTCTGTGTCAGTACTGCACAGATTGGGTTAATCTGGCGGCCCAACTCGCTCTAATTCTCATTGAGCTGATGAGGATTTACGATATTAGCTTCAATCCTTTGCTGGCAGGCCTTTGTTTGAAGCTTACTTTTGTTGCAAATATCATTTTACAGCTTAAATCCAATTGAATTATTACAAACCTAGTTATGGGTTTAATCAGCTAATAATCAGAGTTTGATTGATGGAGATCAGCAGAGGTAGACCTCATGATTCATCCTCGCTAGATTCATGATGGTTAGCACTTTGTTAGGCTGCCTGTTGTTTTGCATTTGAATATATTACCTCTCTGTGCGCCTTCTCTTCATTTCGCTTTCCCTCCCGTCACCAGAAGCACTCTCATTTCACTAACCGGCCCTCAGGCCTCAGCTGGTCCTCTGAGAGCTCATCATCCACGGACGATGATTAGATCCCTCCCTGGATGTTAGGATCCTGATTTGAAATGTGCAGATTATATAATAAAGGACAGCCTTTGGAGAAAGACCAGACCACCAAGCTATTATCCCTCCCTCCCTCCATCCCTCCCTCCCTCCCTCCATCCATCCATCCGTCTATTATCTCAGCGTACATCCGTATGCTCTGTTCTTGGCACTCTGCTCTTCTCTCTGTATATTTGACTTCTCTCCCCGAACCCTCCAGCCTCTCCTGATTCCACCTTTGGACAGAAGGTGTTAGTGGATCCGGCACACATTTCCTTTGGAACAGGTTTTTATGGTGCATCTGTTGAACCCGTCATTTTCTAGGTTTTTTTCTCAACAGGAAACACAGGTTGACACAGACGACATTGTGCGATGCAGTGCAGCTGATATTTCTTGACTTTTCTTTTAAATTGACATCTATTGGTGATTGCTGTCACACATTAACGACCCGACTTCCTGGACGTTCACAACACTTGGTGTGAATTATGTTTCCTCCGGCAGCAACAGCAGTTCGTTTAGAATAAACAGAAGAAAAAGCGAGTTCAGGTCACGACCACTGAACCGATCTGCAGAGGTCGGCAATGAACAGCTTCAAAGCTGCCATCGATCTACGGTGATGTTGCAGGTTCATGTGGGCGTCTCCATCAAATGTTGAATGCATCGCTGAGTGTTTTCTCATCTTCTTTGGCACATGTAGCCGGGACGTGGGTTGATGTCCGTCAGCAGGATTTATTAACCTCCAAACGACTGATTTTCTCATCTGGAGTGGATGTCGAGGTTCATGACTCAGAGTCGTCGTAGTGTTGATGTCAAAAACAAGAAAAAAAACAATTGAGATCATTTAAAAAATGTGCTGCTGTCAAAACCTAGTGTTTGTTTTTGTTGCTCACTTCCTGTCCTCTGACCACTAGCCATTCCTCTTAGGGTCTTGTTCTTCCTCAAACTGCCATCGTGAAGCATCTAACAGATACCATCACCTGGTGACCTC